GTTTTCAGGATGAATCTCGAAGAAGAAAATGTGCTACATTTAATGCATCTTATCCATTTACTCCATTCATTCAGCTTATGTACCACTGAAAACACAGGCCTCCCAGCAATTTTCTACAGATAGAAACATCCATTGTAAATAACATGATGACATCCATGGCAGGAAAAAAAAAGAAGAAGATCCAAACAACATTTTAAAACATCATGGAAGTGGGGTACAATCTGCAGCTTCTCCAAGGATGGCTGTGTTGATTGGGATCAGAGAAGGCAGTCCTGCAGGCATCTGAGTATCCATCTGTTTGGGCTTTACAGGTCAAAACCAGCACTTTAATTGCACCTGGGAACCAGTGTAGGGTTAGAAGCACAGTGTAATTGGTTCTCACTGCAATGTTCTGGTTAATGAATGGGCCCTTTGCTTCGGTACCAAGTAAGGTCTTTAGAAGCAGCTCCACATAGAGAGCACTGGGGTAGTCCAGGCTGGTAGGGAGGAGGGCATGAATTACTGTGGCAAGCTTGTTGTATTACCCTCTTGATTTCTATGAGCAGTATGCCATCAGCTTGAAAATCAAGCTATCAGTACATGATTGTAAGACACAGAAGAACCAGCAAAACTGTTCCTTGACCCTGACTCAAAATGACCAGTTCCTTGACTCAACATGTAAGACTAACGCTGATCTTCAGCAGTGGCACACATTCTTCTTCCAGCCAATGTAAAAGACATCTGCCTCTTTCGAGCAAAACTTACCTGAAGAATGAAAGAACTCCTCATGTTTTCAGGGAGGTTGTCCAACATTTCTGTGTAACAGCGCATCAAGCTCAAAAGCCAGAAACTGGCAGAAGAAGATTCCTCTTCTGCAGTGTAGGTGAAGGGATCCACCATATAGATGACAACAGCCGGTGGGTAGGCATGGCTGTCCGCAGACTCAGGTTCTGTGGGAATTCCTATCCTCTCCCTCTCTGCAGAACTACAAAAAGAAAATTTATCACATTTTTCCTATTCAGTTACAACCCATGTGCTTGAGAGTACAGGTGCACAAAACTGGAATCCAAAAAGGTCCTGAAGATCCAGGGTGGGCACTCTAGGTAAACCTCCTGGTGGCTCCTTAAAAGAGAGACATTTTTTTCTGGGCCTGCATAGCACCCAAACAGGTTCGGGAAATATGTATGTGAGTTATGGAGGTGTTATGGAGGACCACAGATCATCTCCCTGCTGCTTTATCCATAACTCAAATGGCTACTTCTCTGAGCCTTCACAGTTTACCATACGAGTCTGGGAAAAAGTATGTCTCCTTTAAGCAACTGTTGAGAAGTACAGTGAGAGTCTCTGTGCCAGATCCAAAGCATATTTAAACCATTTTGGACCCAATACTGCATACTTCAAGTGGATAGGTTGACAACAGCAAAGGGAGAGGTGGCCTGAAGACAACTGACCTGCAGTTTTAAAAAAATAATTAAGAAAGTATTAACTTAGTATTAAGGATTATCTTGGCCAAACCTAAGAATGGATTGAAATAGGGCACAGGCTATTACCCAGCACAAAAATGAAGCACACTTGCTGAAATTAATAAGTTTGGGTCTCTGCGTTATAGAATTATCCAGTAATCAAGCTTGAACAGAACAAACTTTATTACAGTCAGTGACCAGTGCCAGTAACCAACTTTTGCTACAACAATTACAAGACCAGCAGGAGGCAGTACATGGCTGATTTCTTCCTTATTGGAACTCATCAGACATATGCGGCCCGCTCTATTTCTATGGGGTTCAAACCCTCTACCGGGAGCTAATCTCATGGACCATTACGCTTTAGATGACTATATATACTGCATTAGCTTGAGGAGATATCCAGGTCCTGGAGCTCAGGAGCATTTCAGGAAGGGATATATGGAATCTACCAGAATGGTATGTAGCCTCTATAACAATGGATGTTATGTCTACAGACAAAGCCCATAAAATCACAATTCCATCAATTCCGTGGCCAGGATTACAATGCACATCTAATTTAACCCTAATCCTCAGTGCAGAGAGGAAAAACCTGCCCATCATTTCTCTAATTGGGATAATGTTGAGAAGAGGCAAGATACTGAAAACTGGGATGTTCTCCTGGGAAGCAAAGTATGATTCAGAGTACTGAAGTTCCTATGTAAAGCCTGTTAGAAGAAACAAAAAAGCAGTACATCAGTGTTGTTCCCTTCCTCAGAATTATATGGGCATGATGTACCTTTGCAAACCTCCCATATGGAACTACCAATGAGAAGACATTGAAACAAGCAAGAGGTATGTTCTCCGATACTCAGACTAACTTATCAAGGCATCCTCTAGAAGGTCAGGAGCACAACTCCCAGAATTCCCGAGCCAGCAATTCAAGCAAAGAAGTCCCAATACTTATGAAGGTGGTTAAGTAGAAGGAGGTTGGGATACAACCTAAGAGAGCACCCAAACTGAGAAAGGTGGACTTACTTTTCCTGCCCTTCCTGTGGTTGCTGTGATGAGATTTGCCCCGCCTCTGCATCTCCTCCTGGGACTGTGCTTCCCTGGGGTCTCTCTGTGGGAACTGCCCCAGAAGCTGGGTTTTGACCTTGAGGTAGGCCTCCACTGAACCCTGAAGAGGAGGTAGTGCTTGTCTGGCTAATACTGGATGCAGAGGAGGAGGCTGACAGCTGGGGCACTGTGGTCCCCGGGGCTGTACTGGTGCCCACCGGGAGACCAGTGGTCCCATTAGTTGTGGAGGTGAAAGAAGTGCCAGCTGGGGGAGCTGCAGATCCAAGACAGGCTGAGTTGGAGGAAACTGATCCTGCATTCCCAGATATGGTTTGCTCCAAGTTTGATGATGGTGGAGGTGCAGTTTGGTGTTTCGGTGGCATCAGCAGGCTGCTATCAAGTTGCAAAGTAGCTAAGTAAGGTGCTGAAAGGACAAACAGAAGCAAAGACTTCAAAGTGATGTACAGAAGTCCCACACCAAAGCCAAAATACACTAGATAGTCTATGTTTTCAAAATAGCAAGAGTGCAGAGAAATTTTGGTTGCAAATATTTATCAACTACTTTTGCAGAGTGGGAGGAAAAGAAGCAAAGGGAAGGATGGATTTGACATGTCACTACTAGTTCAAACTGTGGAACAAGACAGACTCAGCACATAAAATGTCCAACCTGTGGTTTGCTCTGGGATTACACAAACAACCAAGTGTCCACTTCCATTTATTAATCAGCAAACAAAGAAATATTGCTACTTTGCAAACCTTCTCCAAGCAAGAAGAAAGTGAAGATAGTTTAGCCTACACCCTGGCAGGCTCCTTTCTCTCAGCACACAACTTTCTCCAGATTTCTGTTTTGTTTTAGAGACCATCTTCCTCCCTTTCTTCTTCTTCTTCTTCTTCTTCTTCTCCTTCTCCTCTTAATTCTTAAACAGAGGACTGTTGATAAGCCAGGTTTTAGGGATGAGCGAGTGGGAGCTGTTACAATGCCATATTAGAGGAAGGCCACATGGATTCCTGAATCCACAAACATGTTCTGGTGGAAGGGAATAATCCATAGGCTGTATGGATTGAGGTCCACAAGACAGAAGATGGGAGAGCTATTGCAGAGATTACAGGACACCTGGCATCACCATAACCTTTACGTTTTTTACTTATTCAGCCATTTTAAACATAATGAACAAATGAATGAAGGGATCCTACTGCTTCCCCTTCTTACCTAGGTGGTGACGACAAACTTGCGCATAAAGTTTGAGCCTGGAATGATTGTCACAATCTTCATTGCCCCAGGGTGGGTTAAACCAGTCGCTCACAAGCTCATCTGCCAGCTTCTGGGCCACCGTCTTTCCCACTCGCATGATCCCATCATGCAACACTTTACAGATTGGTTTATGTTGACCAAGCCGACACATCTAACAGCACAATGAGAAAACAACGATTTCAGAGGTGTGAGTTACATACTACAGAGCAGTTACCATCTCTGCATCCCACAGCCAAAATAAAAACATAATATTTCACTCTGTTTCAATTAAGGACAATGTGTCGCTTACCTGCAGAAACAAAGAAGTGGGACTTAAATTTCCTGTTATTTCAGTGAGGTTTAAGTGCCAGTACAGTAAGATTCAGTGGGACAGGGCATGTGAAATGCACACTCAGCGCCACACTAAATGAGCAAGCATGTAACAGCAAGGTTTTCCCTCCCCATGCAAATCTTTTGCAATGGCAGGAAGATCAGCCAAACCTGTGCTACCCATCTGGGGTAGTGCTTAAAGCATTACTGCATTCCAATGGCAGCTAAAAGATTGCCTTGGACAGGGGAAAAAGACAGACATCTCTGAGGATGGAAAGAAAAGTAATCAAATTGGCATAAATAATAAAATCCACATGGAGCTATACGTACTGAAAATTTGCTCAAGTGGAATGCCACAGTTTACAAGTTAATAACATTTTGGTTCCCACTCTCAAATCTAAATGTTCACTCATATTTCTTATATGAGAGCGTGCTGTTTTAAAGAACGTATTCCTTTACTCCTCCCATCCTGGATTAGCTTTACAGGTAGTCCTCGGGTTATGACGGCAATTGGGACTCGAATTGCCATCACTAAGTGACAGTCGTAAAGCATGATGTCATGCTTTACAATCACGTCACTTAGCAACAGCAATTCTGGCAGTCCCTGTTATCATTGTTAAACAAGGAATGCACAGGTCATTAAGCAAGGACCTCACGTGACTCCAACTTCCAACTTCCTGCTGGCTTCCCCATTGACTTTGCCCACGGGAAGCCATCACGGAATGTTGGAAATCATGATCAAGTGGCCACAGCTTGCTGTGACATCATAATTGCGAGCTGAGCACCGAGTACTTAGATCATGATCACGTGACCATGAGGACACTGCAATGGCCAGAACTACGAGGACCTGTCATAAGTACCATTCTTTCAGCACCATTGTAACTTTGAGCAGTCGCTGAACAAATAGTTGTAACCCAAGGATTACCTGAACAGTATTTCACTATAAGGCTGAAATTCCATATTACACTGGACACAAATGGAAACAACAAAGCAGCTGTTTGCTAGATCTTTTCTTATAAAGTATCAAGAAAATGCTTCTAAATAAAATACATGTAATACTTATAAATTATCCCTGTGTTTTATAAGAGAGGAAAAGCTCTCTAATTTTCTGTATCTGAAAAACTCTTAAGGAAATGATCACTTACCTCATATACGGCGCTTAAGTCCCTGAAGAAAGTTTTGGCTCCGTCAAGCAAGGCCTCATTTTCTGGACACACCACAATATAGGCAACATCCCGATGACCCCCATAGGGATCTAAGAGCAGCCTCTCCCAGAATGGCAGGGAGAATGGAGAGATTGTCAGGAAGTCCTTATCATAGCCAACCAACAAAGTGGGTATTGGAAGAGGCTCAGGTGACTCTTCGGAACCTAAAACGTGAAAGGGACATTTACAACTTCGGATGTGAACTGCTGTGAAAACATGAAGGTTGATTGTCTCCAAAGGAAGGAATAGGCCAATGCCAACCCTCCAGATGCTTCAGACTACAATTCCTATGAGTTATACCTGGCCATGATGGCAGAGACTTATGGGAGCTGGGAGCCCTAGCATGAGGGACACCAGGATTTAAGTCTTCAAGCCATTCCAGTCATTCTGTGCTCCATACAAATTATGGTCAGAAGCTCATTAGAATCACTTGGGAGAACAGGTTATTTTTACACCCACCTTTTACTCTCAGACTCAAACCATGAAACCACCTACATAGTAGCCAAATTTGCTCCTGCAGCAGTTAAAGCGAGGCAACAGCTAACACCAAGCATTAACTTGACAATCCTTCCTATTCCCTTTTAACTGTTGGTTGTGTCTACTGCTGATCTTTGAACGTAAATAAAGAATTTGATTTGGTGAGAATTCAGACTTCTTCCCTGTCAATGGATCTCCAACTCAAAGTATCAATGCACAGACTGAGGGCCCAGGGCTGCCTGTGGCATGGCCCCTATACAAACTCAGGTCCAGTCTCCAGAGCCCCTCCCAAGGTTGCTGCCAAATGCTAATTTTTAACATAAAAGAAAGAGGAAATTATACATCCATGGGGAGCAATCATACTAACTGTACTTTATTCATCTAACTGAATCATAATTAAATTTGATGCTTCTCCTAGCCCAATGAACTTGAATTCAAGAACTTGAATTCTTGATCCCAGCCAAATATGTTCAGAAAAAAATTCTGTTGCTTTTTTGGGTCAACATGGAATTGCTGAATTCTAAGCATTCAGGCCATGACAATCTGGTGGCTAGAAAATGCAGTGCTTCCTTGCCACCAGATTGCCAGGAAGCCAAACCCCACTTCAAGTAAAGGGGTCATGAAATGTGATTGTATGATCATCATTGGCATAAAGTGTTCACCATCAATATCTTGGAAGATATTCATTATTTGTAGGAATATTGTTATACTGTATTTAATTAATATTTATTCTTTTACTGTAGATCGCCCAGAGTCGCTTCCAGTGAGATGGGCAGTGACAAATGTGAAAAATCAGTCAATCAATCAGCAGACTCCACCTGTAACTGCAGTTCGCAACCAAATCCTCTCCAGACCCGCATCTACCCTCTTAAACTGGGCAAGGGAAACTTGGTCACAGTGATAAACTCCTTTTCTTTAACCAACTATACCATAGGTTCCCCGTCCTGCCATTTTATGGAACTGCTGCCAGGTGAGGGGTCCTTGAACATGCTGGATGTTCTCCCAGGTTCTGCCAGTCCGCTTCTTTTGAATGGCATCCTGTAGGAAAGGCTGCAGAGAGAGAAGCATGCGTACGACGTCTTGGGAGGAAAGCATGCTGATGTCTAGGACTGAGGGAAAAAACACACACACACACACAAAACAACCATGTCATGAACTATGAATATATATATATTATATATACTAGTACAGTATTGGTTTCAGAACAGCCAAGATACTTTATAGATCCTAAAGATTCAATATTCCAAGAAAACCCTGCTCTATTTCTGCACCCTAATAGCCTGGTTCCTATTCTTTTTGGGTTGCTCAGCACGCCAACCTGTGATCTGATTTCAATAATGTTTTGATTTAGTCTGGATTCCTGAATTGAGCAGGGGGTTAAATACAATGGCCTAAATAGCCCTTTCAAAATCTATGACTACTTTTTCTAAATCTAAGTGTACACAAGGTATTCTATTAGACATACAATTTCCCAGAGAGGTAGTTATTAAACTTTTTTAATGGACTGCTTGAAAATTGGTAGATGTCCCAGCAGACCATTTTTGTATGTGTTTTTTTCTCTTTCACTCTCTCTACGCATTTATATTATACTTTAACAGTCTCAGTTCTGCTTTTCAAGAAGCCTAGAATTTTTCATATATATTTTATTTATTTATGATTTCATTCATTCATAGTATATACAAGATACTATTTAGACGAGCATTTAAAACATAATATGTTAATGCAACAAACGCCTGGTGGTAAATTCATGTGGCGTACAGCTACAACTGCAGAAGTTGCTGTAACGTCCAAATCTGAGCTGTAACCCAAGTTAGCTTTAAGATGGTTCTCTATACAGCATCCCCAGGAAAACGTATCCAACCCAATAATATGAATTTTTAAGACAAAGGCATGTCATGTTTATACATGCAACAGGACTGAGACCAGCAAGTCTAGAAGAACTTTGAAAGCCACATCAGAACCTTGAAGGGTTCCCAAAGCAAGTTTATGAGGAAGGATAAGTGTGAAGAAGGAGAGATGCGTTGTTATAGTCCCTTTTTGCACATTTTAACAGACTCAGATCACACCATCAACACGCTTGTTTAAACGAGCTAATCCTTATTTGAATCCTAGACACCTCAAAACATTTTGCAGAAGGAAAAGAAACAAATAATCCATCTTACCATTGCTGTGAGGCCAAGAGTGAACTGTAGCACTTCGGACAAGAGCTTCATCCACTTTCCCACCTGTAGGGTTATCCACATACTGTCGACCTTGCTCCAGAGCATTAAAGCACTCGTTCCAGGAGTCGTGGCTTTCAGCCTGAACCCTGTCGTAACTCCAGTTTGTGTAAGAGAGCGTTGGCCTGCTTGTGACAGACATGTAGTCCAAGCAGCTTAGTGAGGTGAAAGGTTGGGTGTGCTGATTTTGAAGGAGAAGGAGAAGACTCACTGGGGGCTCCTGAACCCTTTTGGAGCCTTCTCCTAGCTGAGGAATTAAGGTGGTCTGACTCATCATCAACCTCCTTTCGGCAACTTGGCCAATGTCTGAAGTCCTGCCAAAAATATCTAACTCATCCTCAATGAACAGGCCCGAGTTGTACCCTAGTTTGCGATTCATAATTGCACTGAATCCACAAGTGCATCGATATTGGTCCTCTTTAGATGAATCTGGAATATACAGCCCAACATCCGCACCCTTGATATTCATGTTGCAAGCGCAAATGCAGCAGCTGTCAAAATTGCTATCTTTAAAAATATTCAGCACAGAGTCGGAGAGAATGAGCATGACATACAAGCTGTGGGCTTCCAGGATTGGGAGCACGGTGGCCGGCTCCACAGAATTGAGGGGCCGGGTGGTCGAGGGCGTGGAAGCTGGCGACCCTTGGTCTGTGCTATCGTATTTCACAGATCCTTGCCCGCTGGCTGTGCCCCCACCTCTCGGAGTCCGTGGAGTCCTGGGTGTGCGGGGGGTTGGGACAGAGAAGCGAGGGGTGGCTGGGGAAGGCAATACACCTGCACCACTGTTGCTGGCAGGAGCAGTGCTATTTAGCGTTACGGGAGTGCTCATCTGTGGAGTGTTCATCTGAAGGTAGTCTTGATCTGCCAGGCTCCCAACACTGGGTATATTGCTACAAGCAGAGAAAGAAAATCTATATTTCTACCTGTATTTCTAACAAGATTTATTAAAGTACTTATTTCAGAACTGACAATGACAACATAGAAGCAGTCAATGCATTTCTTTTAGCATGGGCACAATACGTTAGTATATTGGAACAATCCAGTTAGTATACATTAACCTGATTCATACTTATAGGAATGTTACTAGTAAACTTAGATTTGTTTATTGGCCAAACATCCTTTGTTCTCGTTGGTCTGATTAGGCCAGAACTGCTGAATTACCTACCATCATGTAATTCAGAATCATCCATTATCCCCCATCAAAACATGCCCTTCAATTTTTCAGAAAGAAAGCGCTTGAAAGGGCAAAATGCAATTCTTTACCATACAGAGCTCCAAACTGATTATGGATAGTTTTTATATGTTTGCATATTTGTTTTTAATTAATTCCTATTGGATTGTTTTTACCTGTTGTGAGCCACCCAGAGTCACTTAGATGAGATGGGTGGCCACACAAATCGAATAAATATAGGTAGTCCTGACTTAACAACCGATCGTTTAGTGATCGTTTGAACTTACAACAGTGCTAAAAAAAGGTGACTTACAACTGGTGCCCAAAGTTACAACCGTCACAGCACTCCTGCAGTCACATGATTGCAATCTGGGTGCTTGGCAACCAGCTTGCACTTACAACGGTTGCAGTGTCCCACTGACACGTGATCTGTGACCTTCCCAGCCAGTTTCCGGCAAGCAAAATCAATGGGGAACCCTGTGATTCACTTAACAACTGCCGCAAAAAAGGTCATAAAAATCAGAACCAGTCACATGATGATTTGCTTAAAAACCGCACTGCTTAGTGACCTAAGTTCTGGCCCCAAGTGTGGTCGTTAAGCAAGGACTATTATAAGAAGATGAACAATAATTCCTTATACTGCTAATACAAACATGCTCCTTTAAATGTGCTCCTTACGGCAATTGCTCCTTTGATGACAGAGTAGAAACCTGCAAATATAGTCTTTCTACAATGGAAGTTTAAATATTTATTTTGAGCTTCCCTTCTGCCAGCAACTTGAGAAGGAAATGCGATGAACCTTGATTCTCTGGAATCATTTTCATGTTACTTCTAACAAAACTGAGGGCTGGTTAAAGGAAATGGAGAAAGGGAAAAAAAAGCAGTGTACACATTTGGAAAGGTAAAACCGAAACACAGTGAGTACCTTAGGGAAGCAACAAAAGATGACCTAGAAACCTTGATTAGCAATCACTTCCTTGGCAGAAGCTTACAGTAATAGACTTTGCTCTAATTGGATTACATAGGAAATAAAAGATTCTTATCCCAATAAATACCGGCAATTAATAATCAGCTCAGACTTTAGGAAATTGTTATTATTAAAGAAAACTGAGAATTAAATTGCTGCCTAAACACAGTCAAGAGTGTCGTGTTTTTTTTTTCCCTCTAATTCCTCTGAGATCACTGGAGACCTTGTGAAGGTAGGATGTGATTGATGTGACGAACTGATTCAAAGACATCAGCAGCTTCTTCTCGGAAATAAATTCATGGCTGCAAAGGAGCCCTATGCAGACGGTGCCTTTAAAAAGTTCCAGGCATTTCATAGTTTTAATTCTTGCTTCCTCACCCGCTCCCCAAGATGAGGAGCTGGGGTCTGTGTTCCAATTCATTCTAATTTCAAATGTATTTCTTTACTTCACATGGCTTATTGTGACTCCCATCACAAATGATTCTGAGTGACATTATTAGCAATAAAAATTAAAATAGAATACAACAACAAAAACAATAATAGCAAGAAATACCATTTGTTGGTTGCAAACAAGAACTGGGGGGACCACAAAACAGACAAAGTAATAGAAAATGAAGAAGCTGAAGTGCTCTGGGACTTTAGAATTCAAACAGACAAGCCCCTGCCACACAACACCCCAGGCTTAACCATTGTTAATAGGAAAGACCAAAAAGTCTGGACAGCGGACATTGCAATGCCTAGAGACAGCAGAAGAGAAGAGAAAGAACTGGAGAAAATCACAAAATACAAAGACCTGC